CAGGGAGGGGACAGGGAGGGGACAAGGAGAGGACACGGCCATGGAGCTGCCGACCTTCATCGCTCTCCTTGGTGAGGCCTCTTCTTCCTCTTCCTCCTCCTCTTTTATCCCAGTTTTCCCCATTTTTCCCCAATTTTCCCCAATTTTCCCAATTTTCCCCATTTTTTCCCAATTTTCCCCCATTTTTTCCCAATTTTCCCCATTTTTCCTCATTTTTTCCCAATTTTTCCCCATTTTTCCCCAATTTCTCCCATTTTTTCCCCAATTTTTCCCAATTTTCCCCAATTTTCCCAATTTTCCCCAATTTTCCCCAATTTTCTCCAATTTTTCCCCAATTTTCCCCCAAATTCCATCCCAATTTTCCCAACTCTTCCTCCTCCTCCTCCTCCTCATCCCATTTCCCCCATTTTTCCCCCATTTTTCCCAATACCATTGCGCAACTTCCATCGCATTTTGGGGCCGCTTCCCCTTTTCCCGCCACTTTCGGGGTCACGTGACCGGGAGGGGACAGGGAGGGGACAGGGAGGGGACAAGGAGAGGACACGGCCATGGAGCTGCCGACCTTCATCGCTCTCCTTGGTGAGGCCTCTTCTTCCTCTTCCTCCTCCTCTTTTATCCCAATTTTCCCCATTTTTCCCAATTTTCCCCAATTTTCCCCAATTTTCCCAATTTTCCCCATTTTTTCCCAATTCAAATTTTCCCTTTTTTCCCCAATTTTCCCCATTTTTTCTCAATTTTTCCCCATTTTTCACAATTTTTCTCAATTTTTCTCAATTTTCCCCCAATTTTTCCTGATTTTCCCCCAATTTTTCCCAATTTTCCCCCAAATTTTCCCTTTTTTCCCCAATTCTTCCCCATTTTTCCCAATTTTTTCCCAATTTTTCCACATTTTTCCCCAATTTTTCCCAATTTCTCCCAAATTTTCCCCAATTTCTCCCAATTTTTCCCAATTTTCCCCAATTTTCCCCCAATTTTTCCCCAATTTTTCCCCAATTTTCCCCCAATTTTTTCCCCAATTTTCCCCCAATTTTCCCCCAA